CAAAGTTTTTCAGAAGACAGATCCTCTATTTTAGCCTCAATATCCATTGAAAAACAGCTTGTTAAACAGTTATTAGAAAATCCAAAATTTTACTGCAATGTTATAAACAAATTTGCAGCCATTGAGAATAGGCGAATAGATTTTAAGTATAAATAAATGTCAACTGCTGTGTCAACTGTGCGAAAAATGCTGGAAAAAAATAAAAAAAACTTCAGTTAAAAGTTTTTTTTAAGTTCAAATAAACCAAGGAAGTTTTTTTTATAGCTTCTAGTTCTAAATTAGGTAATAAAGTAATAGTAACACTTCAAAAATCTCAATCTCGAATATCCATAGTACTGAGGAAAAAAGCAAGATTTTGACAAAATGGCTAATGCGCCGCGAAAAATTTTCTGGTCTGCTGTATTTTTATACAATCGCTTCCCTTTCCAAAAATGTCACCGCACGCCACTGGTAAGCATTCTTCGAATTAAGCAGAATATTACAGGCAATAGAAAACGCGTACCAAGAGTGTACAATCACAATCAGAATTTTTAAATAGTAACAAAAAAGATTCAAACGAAAGTGATGAAATTTAAAATAGATACAGTCCAGTAACTGAAGGGACTAACCTGTCATTAAGTCGGTCCAGATTTCCGTTGTGGCTCAACTCTTAGGTCTCGGCGGTCGCTTCCAAGGTCTAAAACTTTTACCAACTCTGCTGCGTCGGAAAGGGCCCAAAATGGACCCTAAAACTGGTTTCCCGCCAAATCTTCCACAAAATGCAAATTAGAGAATTTTTATTCAGATAAAAAAGAAAGATCTTATCATTATCTACAAAAATGGACCCCTTCATTTTTGTCGGGAATTCGACAGGTTTCGAGATAACCGCTATCAAAAATCCCCTCGTTCAGCCCCTGCTTTATCTCTATAGCAATGCTGATAAGCTTGTAAACGGGTGGACAAATTGTTTCAGAATTCGGTCAAAAATTGATATTTTTTGATGATTCAAAGTTCATTACAATAGAAAAACCCATAGGTATCGATCCGTGTGCCTTGCAGCTCGTTATTTTCTGTCAAGAACATTGAAAAAGAGGTCAAAGTTGCGTTTTCCCACTATTTTGGACCACTTTATAGTAATTTATTCACATTTTTTTCTTTTAATAGTTTTTTATCCCATTTTTAATTTAAATGGAATCTTGAGATGTCTTGAATGATCTCAGACATTTTTTCCAGTCAGTATCTCCTGGGCGTTTTAAAACAAAATTGATTTGTTTGTTTGCATTTTTCATACGTTTTCGGAGTTCTAGAAATCTTTGAAACAAGCAGTAATTAAAAACTCATATTTCATTATATTGTTAGTCAATGCACACCATTTTAAAGCTTAGACTGTCTACTTTTCGAATGTATTTCTTTTTTTTAATAAAGTTGCTCCATTTTCCAGAAATCGGGAAAATTTATCACACCGGAGAAAACCGGACTTTTTTTAAATACTTCTTATTCCCCGCTGTTCATTTTTTGAACATTAATACCCAGACCTAAGTGAAGCTGATATTCTCACCTTTCCATTTCTATCAATTGATCCCCGTATGTAAGCGTGGTTCTTAACTGTTTGTTAGAATTATCTCCCCCATTTTTACGCTCTCCGCCTGAGATCCATGATATTCCATCATAACCTAACCACGTGTACCCACGCGCCACGCGCTCACCTTAATCGTCTGCTTTTGTTGGTATACAATCTCTATTGTTTTTGGAGTCGTTATTGTCGGTATTATTGATAGTATTTTAGAAAAATATTGATAGTATTTTATCATTATCAATTAAGTTGTTAAAAAAAAAGAAGTTTTCAAAGTGAAAAATTCGACGACATTTTTGAATTTTCAAGAATATGTTTTTCGTTTGTGGAGAACAGAAAAGGTTTGGTTGATTTAAAATAAAGTCTATAAATTTGTTGTAATTTTTATTACATTTCAATAATATATTTTTGTAAAGCTCTTGTTGTAGCAATGGTAGCAGACTCCGTTCCAAAATGTTTCCTTTGTGCCCAGGAAGTTGTGGATGAATTATAACAAAAATGAAGTTATTTTCCCGAAAGAATTAGAGATGGATCGAGACCCAGAAGGGGTTGAAGGGGAGGAGGATGAAATAGCTGTCGAGACAGCAACAGGGGTGGAAAAACATGGGGAAGGGACGCGTGGAGGAGGGGAAAGAATAGAGCAAGAACAAGACGATGAAGAGTATGTAAAATTTGAAAATAAGAGACACATTTTAATTAACCATGCTAAAGGGTTATTGTTTAAGAGGAAAATTTACATTACAAACTGAAAGACCTGCGGGGCAACAGTAGTTTGTATAAAAATTACAACTTAAGAGTGGAGCCTAAATACTATAAAATTACTTCTGAGACTAAACAAAATCAACATTAATTCATAATTTTAACAATTGCATGTAGATACGAGGGATACATATTCTAAACTGTAACTCGCGAAGTTGAGACAAAGGAACCGAAAAATATTCCACAATAGCACAAAATTATATATACTTTACAATAATTGATTATCTGAGAGTAAAAAAGCGTCCATAGTTTAGTACCATTTATGTCCTCCATTCAAAAAGCCAAAATAACAAATACAGGAGGCCAATGTAAATGGACAATAAACGGTCTCTTGACATATAACTTCAAATGAAATACAATTAGCTTTAAAGCGGCTGATTCTTATGGTACAATCTGAGTATTTATCAGATGAAATTAAGACCTTACGACCTTACGAGTCTTAAAACCAATATTAAGGTCTAGTAAAATTTTGAAACTAAACCCCTTTCTCGATTAAGATGGTTTATTAGTAGTAGGTGGAAGAATAAAACATTCCAATTTAGAGTATGAACATAAAGATCCAATCATACTTCCCTATGAGCACTATTTACCTAAATTATTAGTTCGTTTGGAACACATCCGAAATTTACATGCTGGAGCTCAATTATTGTTGTCAATTATACGTCCTAAATATTGGCCTCTAAAGGGAAACATTTTGGTTAAACGCACAACTAAAAAGTGTATTATTTGTTTTAAGGTGAATCCTACACCTACTCCAATTTTAATTGGTGATCTTCCTAAGTGTAGAGTTACGAATATGCTGGACCAATTTTGGTAAAGGAAGGCTCTACTCGAAATAGTTAATTTGTCTAATCATATATCTGTATTTTCGTTTGCTTGATTATTCGCGCAGTTCACGTTAAATTGGTTATGGATTTAACAACAGATGGTTTTTTAAATGATTTATTTCACGACGTGGTAAACCTAGAAATCCATTCTGATAACGGCTCCAATTTTTTGGGAGCTCACAATAAATTTCTAGAACTTCATAAACTACTTACTCACAGATATCATAATTCTAAGATTACATAGCCCAAGAGGGAATTAAATGTTTTTTATACCTGCCAAGGCACCACACATGGGAGGTATTTGGGCAGCAGCGGTAAAATCGTGTAAATTTCATCTAAAGCGTGTTTTAGGTAATAGCTTTCTACGATATGAGGAATTATACACTGTCCTTACTTAAATTGGAGCGTGTTTAAATTCATTTCCTTTTACTGCTATCTCTGACGATCCCAATGATTTCGTTTCATTAACACCCTCTCATTTCCTTCCTGGGAACTCACTCAAAGCTTTGCCCGAAGATGAAGCCAACGAAGAAAACATGAAATGATTATCTCATTATAAAAGAATTCAACAACTTCAGCATTCTCAGCCAACTTCAAAGTCGATATAAGTGGAACCAGGAAGGTTTATTAGAAGTTTTGAAAGAAGAAAATAAACCTCCGTTAAAATAGCCGACCGGCAGAATTGTTTAACTATTTCCAGGTGCACATTGGATTAAAAGAGTGGTGGCGATAAAATTCACAAATGGACATATTGTTAACCGTTATATTACAAAAATTTGTATTTTCCCATTGGACATTTAGTTTAGTTTTGTATTTTTATGTATGCTTATTTGAAAGCCGTCTTTCCAGGTACCCGGCTATGTTTAAATCACATACTTTGATAATCAAAGTATGTGGTTTAAATATATTCAGGAGACGACCATGGCGAAGGGACATTGCAAGTTTTCATGGTGATACGTCCGTCAGTGAAAAAATTAATTAACAAAAAAATTGTACAAATGTCATATCAAAATAATATTTTGTAAAACGTTAAAAAATAAAGTTCTAATTATATCTAAAGGTCCTTTGAGTATTTAAAAATTGTCTTTTACGTATTTAAATATCAACTCCGTTTTCATGATTAACTTAAAAAAAGGCAACACATTATACAACACATTACATACATACAACACATTACGACAAATTTTCAGTTTTATATCTATTTTTTATAATGTGATCGTACAAAAAAATATTGTGCGCATTTTGAGCAAAAGTTAGTTGTCGCTTTCCACATATTGCCAACTTGCCAACTTTCTGTCTCAAGCGGCAAAGTATCACGTTTCGCTCTCAATACACAAATAGCCATTTACTGTTATTTTATTTGTTACTTTGTCTTTATTAAATAACTATACCGTTCTATCATACTGTAATGCGAGCTATTTCATTATTTAGTCATGCTCTAATCCTCTAAGTCCCTATCTGTCTTATTTGGCTTTTGAGGCTCAACTTGTCCAATTATCATACATTATTAAACCCCTTTATACCAAACGTATGTGACGACTATGAGGGAGGCGCTTTCGATTACTATTCGAGAAATAACGAGATAATGTTTCTAGTTTTGGCGAATAACATTCTAGAACCTTCACCATAATTTTAAATTTGTATATAAATATTGGTGGAGGAACAATGCGGCAGTCAATTGTATATAGACAGTAAAGATAAATAGTGAACAGTTTAAAGACTTTCGAAATATATAAATTAGAATAGTATTGTTCTAAAATAAATGTTTAAATAAATTATTAATAAATAAACTGTCTGTTGTTTAAAATAAACAAACATTACAATACCTTTACCGTTTCGAAAAATTACATATTTAACGTTACCTTGTTATTAGACCAGGACCATTTTTGGCCCATTCTTGACCATCAAAATTATGTTTCAGCTCATTAAGACATTTTTCAGCCATTGAGTGACCAATTCCATCTGATGCTAAACCTAAAATTGCTGAATTCACGCTGTCATTCCGTTCAATACCGGCAAAATTTAGAGGTAACTTATTCAGAGGTTTCGTAACTATAACATCCAAGTCTAAATATATTCCGCCATATTTCCATAGTGTGGTAAATCTGAAATTGACAAAATGAAATTACTTTCGGTTTAAATAATCAACTGTACGAGGTTGTCTTTGCTTTTGTTCAAAAACGACAAGCATTTTTTTAAGAGAGGCTTTAGTTACTCTCTTTATGATCCACACCCGTATAAGTAATTTAAAATAACTATGTATAGCTAACATAGGCATAACAATATATTTCATTATTAAATCTCTAGTTTTAGTATTACCTAATCTAATATTCTTACATAAAATAAATAAAAAAGTATATTTCAATTACATAAATAATAAACTCAGAGCCAACTCTGGCAAACTAAAATAAGAGCCAACCCTGGCAAATAGTAAATAATGCAGTTCTAAGAATCACCTGCATAAGGCGAGTTCGAATAATCAGGGGCTGGAGCGGGACAAAAGCGGAGTTTTTTAGGGTGCTTTTAAATGACATTTAAGCGTGTTAAACTGTCACTAATCGGACTAAACCGAACGCTAAAAGGGTCGTTTGGAGTAAAAAGTGTTAAAGGAGTTAAAGGAACGTGGCAGACCGAACGCAATGATAGTAACAATTCGATTCGAAAACAGCCTAAAATTTCGGAAATACAGCTATCTCGCTTTATGAAAAATAAAACCGCCAAAAGATACAGGCTCCGATTCGCTCCCACTCACAGTTGCTTCTCCCCCACACTTGCATAGGTCCGTTTAAAATAGTCGCAAAATTTAAACCCGTCATGTTCTGTACTCAGTTTATTATGTAACACATTTTCACCAAATATTAGTTTGATAGGTTGTTATACTATTTTTAAAGTTTAAGAAAATGATATAAAGTCAACGCAATTCTCATTTTTTATATCATTCACGACATCAATAATCAAGCATGAAGATATTCTAGGAAGAGTCATCACTTAATTATCTACAGTCCACGTTTTATTTGCTACGAGGGACCGTAAAGGGCAGAGGATGGTTATTTGAGAAAAACGTCGTCGATCTGTTGCTATTTTCATTAAAAAAATATTCAAATAACAAATGTCCCTTCTCATGATTCGCATGATTTAAGAATCAGGTTTATTTATCGCCTTTTTAAACGAAATAAAGTTATCTTATTTAAAAATTCCATGTCATTAGCATTTGCGACAAGTTTATAGGTAAAATGCATAGGATTTTTAGAAGAATAGTTTATTACTTACCTAATTACATCGCTTGCATGAAAAACAACAAAATCAGAGCTTTCCAACTTTCCAGATTTATACAGTTCTTCAACAGGTGTTCCTTTGGTATGTTTGTAATAATCCAAATGCAAAATATTTACGTTACCATAGCTTAGCAGTGCCCTCAAAAACTTATCCGACTCATCTCCAGAAAATTGTAAAACACCTGGCGAAGAATACAGTAAATACACATCCAAATTTGGATTTAATAAAGCTGCGCTTTCAACTGCACATGCCTGTCTAGCATTTATTGTGATTTTTCCTTTATAAAAAGAGTTGCAAGATGTTTCGTGGAAAAATATCGATTTGTCTTTTCTTGGAGGCACTTTGGAAATATCGGGAAGTGTGTCTAAATTCATTCGATAACACTGGATAGTGTTTTTCGGTAAAACTTGAGCAGACTCATTAAAAGTTTCGTCGGTGTACAATTTTTTGTTAATTCTAAATAGTTTTTGAGTACAGAGTAATGAAATAATTATGAGTAATATTAGAAATATTTTGTAGTAAAAATGCATGTTTTCTTAACCGATATGTAGATATATGTAGTTGGTAAAACTGAAAAAAAAAATGATACAGTTTTTACAATAAAATTATAATAATCACTTGCATGAAGAAAAATGTATGAAACAAAAATATAAGATAAAACAACCTTGAAATTTTGCAAATGGTAGATTTCTTCAAACATACATAGTTGTGAGATATTTATCTAATACTTTCACAATAATATATGTATGCAAGGGGTAAAAGTTTAACTAACAAAAATAATATGGATGCGAAAATAAATAAACTCTTTTGGACGAATGTAAAACAAATATAATTACAAGGAAAATATGAATAATTTATGTAGAAAAACAAACTACTTTTAATCACCTGTTATCCATGGCCAGCATTCTAAAATACAATGCAGTTTGATGGAAATTTGTTTATGCAATTTAATTTTTATCGAAAATCGTGCTCGGTTTGAAATTATATCGGTTTATTTACATTTTGCATTTTAGTTTACGACGTTGCCAGCTTTATTGAAACATCCTGGACGGTATTCTCGAAAACGAGATTTGAATCCAAACCCCTAGACTAAAACCGTTCTGAAATTTTGAACGAATAATGTTTTTACCTTTTTACTGAGATCCCTTACATAATATATGCTAGTGTTGTGATGGATTTTCCAAAATGATAAGAAAATCATAATTTAAATCAATTTGAGTATTAATAAAATGTTCAACGGATATAGGTATATTTTGGAATTCTTAAAAATCAATATAAATAATTAAGAAGGTTTTCCAAAAAAAAAAGCACTCGATCCAACAAATTATTTGACAGTTCTACCAACATAGTTAGCAATCATAAAAATTTAAAATAAAAGGTTTGACAACTAATATTTAGTTAAAACATATTTTATAATATTAAAAATGTTATCTAGGGATTATTAAAAATTGTGATAAAATAAACTCACCTTTAGTCTGTTTCTCTTTTTCAAGCTCAGAAATTATCTTACATATCAAATTTTCAGCAATAATCGAGCTTCCACGGCATTCCTGCTTTTAATAATTTCTTCAAATACGTTCGCTTATTTTGAAAACATTCGCTCTTTTACAGATTTCCAATATATGGTCTCCTTTATCTTTGTGGTACGTATTGGTCTATTTTAATGGCAACGGTAATTCTAGTTTTCTCTGTATTTTTGCGCAATCCGGCAACACCGCTGGCGGATTGACCGCAGGTCAACTCTTATCCAAAGAAGAATTAAGTTTATAATAATGACCTTTATTTTGCAGTTTATAAATTTTTTATTTTATTTTTTTACATGATTTACGGTAATGTTCATAATATACCGGGTGACAATGAGACCAGGTCCACGTTAATATCTCTTTTTTTATTTATTTATTTATAAAGCAATATGGATCAAATTTGGGACACACCTATTAGACATAATTTTGAATTAACACTTATACTTAAACAAGATAGCCGAATTCCGGTTTTATAGGAAATGCAAATTACTTTGATTTTTTAAATTAAATATATTATGTTTCTGTTTTTGTGACCATGATGCAAGGCCGTAGCCAGAGGGGGCACATATTGGCAAGGCCCTACTTTAAAATACCAATGCCCTACCTTAAAAGTAGCCAGTCGGTATCGTACATCTCAATACACGCTTCAAAATCATAATCATTATACATAATAAGCAACACACGGTAAAACTGGCAACTTGCCGCATTTAAACTGGTTATATCACACTTAAGCTCTCTTGCACTCTCATCACCAATTACCAATAGTCACATTTAGATCCGTGTCCTATCCTGTCCGTGCTATTGTGTCTTTTCTTGCTTTGTAATCTTTTACTTATTGGGAATTGAATTACTGACAACTACTACGTAAATTATAGTAGTATGACTTGATAAGGTAGTCGAACAAGAACAAACTCATTCCTCAATAGACCTACCTGCGGAAGAGCTAGCAGGACCTTCAACAAGTATTGGAATTGCTGATGATATAGCTCAAATTGGAAAATACCGAAAAAAAAGGGAAGAACACAGAAACGAAAATTCTCTTTGCTTTAGTGACGACATTCGGCTGCAGCACTGCTTCATGTGAATCAACCTGTTCGACGTTAACTGTGATAAACAAGCCCGAAAGAATACCAATGGTTCACGATATAATGATATAGGTCTTGTGTTTATTGAGTTTAAAAGGAAGAGGGCGGAGAAAATAGATACAGACGAAATTTTATACTACGAAAATTCTACAACATGGCAAATCGAATGTTTTTACTAAACTAAAATAGTATTTTATGTGTTCAACGACGTCGAAAAAGCAGAATTCAAATTAACGTAATAGATACATATATTAGCATACGTTGCTGAAAATTCACATGTAAGTATATTGAAAATTGCTTAGGGCTTACTAGGTGATGCGTTCTATTTTAAAATAATATCGTCTCCATCCATACCATGTAGCCCTTTATCAAGGTATGAAATTAACATTATGATAAAAAGCTGGATTATTGTAATTGGCTTAAGATTATGCTTAGTAGGGATCCACATTTTTTCTCACATTTAATGTGGTCCGACGAATCTACATTTTCCAGTAATGGATCCGTAAACAGTCATAATATGCATTAATGGACTAACTACAATCCTCATTGGATGCGAGAAGTAATATATTTTTATTTGTGGGATCGACTTATAGATTTAGTTTACCAAACTCAGCCTGTAAGTAAAGATCTTATTTAACGGATACAAACTGCAATTGATCATATTCCTAGGGCTGAAATAGAAGCTGCTGTCAATTCAACTAGACATAAAATAAGTTTTTAAAATTGAACAGCACTGTTAATTAGAACCCAACAGTGAATGGTCGAGTGGGGAATCCTACCAATGCATCAGAATTAATTTTAAATAATTAAATTAAATAAAAAAATCCCGGCCATCGGTGGGATTCGAACCTGGGACCCTTGGATCCACAGGCAGAGACTCTACCAGTGAGCCACCCACTCCCCTCATATTAATATTAGATAAATAATTTTGATTAATTATTGTTCACAACATGAATAATCTTTAGAAAAAAAATAGCATCTCTGTTTCATTTGGTAGGTTTGAAAATTACGCATTTTCTTTTTGTTGAGTTGGACAACCTACGCTGATACATCAGCTGAAGGCTAAAGATAAGTTTACAAAAAATAATTGATTTGAAAGTAGCAAAATAAAGAATAAAGAATAAAGAAAACAACTCTAATTTTAAACTCCCCCTTTTTAAGAAAATAAACTGATCTGATACTACAAAAATGTTGATTTACCCCCGTATGCACCGTACACGTTTAATCCAGATCAAGGATTTAATCGCGTTTAGTACCATTTTTAGCTTTGGTACTAAACGCGATCAAACCTTTGATCTGGATTAAACGTGTACTGTGCATATGGGCGTTAATAATTTTATATACAGGGTGTTTTAAAAAGGTATGTCATAAATTCTTCCTCAGATAGATTACCAAAAAATAAGTGGATTTTGCTATATTTACCTATATCAAAAACTGGCTCCCAACCAGTGATGGATTTACGCTTAGGCCCGTGAGGCCCGGGCCTAGGGCGGCACAATTTGAAGGGCGGCAAAATTTATGAAATGCCAAAATTTTAGAGGCACAACAAAATAAAGACAATCAATTTCAAAAATTGGTTCAGATTAGTTTTTATAAAAAATTTTCGATAGAAAATATTATAATTCAATTCATTAATTTACTTCTCAATCTGTATGGGTAACATATTAATTTTTTAATCGATCAACTATAGTCTTAATCGAGTAATATTCTTTACTTTTTGTTCCTTTAGTGAGATTAATCTTACGTGTATAAAACATTTTGAAATTATTAAATCCGAATGACTTATCTATTTGTTTATAGTGTGAAATAAAAATACCGAAGATTTGCATGTACCTGATTAAAAAAAATATTAACATAAAGAAAAAAGTATTGGTTTTCTATTCAAACCAATACTTTTCAATACTTTTTTCTTTGTCTCAATATTTTTTTTTACTCAGGGGTATTGAATATCGTTATGATATTCATTTAAAAGTGTCAGAACATTTTTTGTTTATAAAAATAAATTTTTATGAAAAATAAATCCTGTCTTTTTCCATATTCAATTTTTTAAATCATCAAAATAACTGTTAAAAAATTGAAAGTTTTATCTAAAATAAAAAAAAATTAATTCGATATTTCTCATATTTGCAAAATCTTCAATTACATCTACAAATTTCAATAATTTCTGAAAATCCAAGTGCAAGAATTATGTGAGCTGATGTATAGGGACCGTGCGTCATGACTTTAACGCTAACTGGTGACAAAAATCTGAACTTTATGGGGGGTATTTATTAATGTTTTTACGACATTTATTGTTTAATAATTATTAATTAAATAAATTCGAATTATTTTCGTAGTATCATTATCGAAAAAACTTGTTGCATTTGTGGATGTACAAACACATCACTTTGGAAACCTGGATTTCATCGATAGTAAAGAAATTTTATAAATTTCCACAGAGCACAACAATTAATGTCTCACACCCAATGATATACATAATTACAAAGATTGCTTATCCATATGTAAATCAGACGACGAAAAGCGTATTTCACTGGGCAAAGTTTTCTTTTTATCTAGCTTGTATCAATTTTGAGCACTTAGTTGTAGAGAAATCATTTACAGAACCGGTTTAGAAATTAGAATCTTTAGTGTTTTCTTGTCATTAAGATTTTTACATATTTAAATGAACATTTTATATAAATATAATTTTACAGATAATGGTTTATTCTGTTAATTAAAACTAATGTAGAATGTTATTATGAAATAAGAATGTTTAATTTGACAAAAATATCATGACCCTCTTTACAATTTATTAACTATTTCTTATTTATTATTAAAATAAACAAATCATAAATAATACATTGCAATTACTGTCAAAAGAGATTGCAACAAACTTTAAAATATTAAAAATCCAGTGATTTTTTGTAAATTTTTTTAGTGACATTACCATTAAACATTATTCAGAATAATAGATAAGTGTCCAATTACAACTCTTACCAAAGTTGTTTATACCTCATATCAATTTTGTTTACATTACCTTTTCAAAATTGTATTACATATTGCAATAATGTATTTTATGTAACATTATTTCTGAAATAAGAGTAGTCTAAAATTATTTATATCCATCTGCTATAAAAATTGTTTAGATCTCTTAATATTATTTAACTACATGGAAAGTCAACTTTCCAAATACATAATAACATGTCTTGAAGTAAAACTTTAATTATTTACTTTTTCTAAAGATTAAAATGCTGAAATTTTATTTTAAAACAAATTTGGGCTTGAACGGCTCTATTTAGTGAGCACTAGGAAAGGCACATTGCAACCCGCTTTTAATAATTTTTTTATAGGTGGGTGAGCAATCTATAATATGTATCATTGGACACCTCATAAACGTCAGTGAATGAATGACATTTCGTCTAACATAAAGCTAAAAA